TTCCTCTGCATTCTCTGCAGTAGCATGGGGTGGGGGGGGGGTTGTTTGAATCTGTCATTTATCAGCTTAGACATCATCAAAACCAGGCCTTCTGCAGTCTCGGCCTTTCACATGCAAAGTGTTACATTGGTATCAAGTCAACTTGACTTGTTAAAGCATGATTGATCAAGAGAAAACCTGCAGGATCTGGATCAGGATCAGGATCAGGATCAGCACCAGGCCTCGCGCATCTGTTTGCAAATATCTGAGATGAGAAGAGGCTGCGAGGAGAAAGATCTGCTGCTGGGACCAGGCAGGGATTTAAAGACGCAGATATTCACACATGAGTGGCTGAAGATCAGTCAACTGGTCAATCAGCTGCTGGAGTGAAAGAGCAGCTTGTCGGGTGAAGCTGCGGAGGTTCAGGGACCATCTGGAGGAAGAACAACCGCAGCTTGGACCACAACAAGTGCAAAACTACAGCCTCATCACTGGATTTCTTCCACGGTGGTCTCAAACCCAACGTTCCAGCTCCTGGAAACATAGTTTTCCAAATAGTGTGGTTCAAGTTCACGAGACAGTGTAACAGGTCATGGTTGATGTCCAATGACCTGTTTGTTAAGGACCATGTTTTTCCTACAGGTTTCAAGTCTCTCTTTCACACTGATCTTAACACAGATCAAAACCAGCCTTAAAAAAACAAGACGGTACCAAACCAGTCTGAACCATGGGAGATCACACCAGAAACAGTCTTGATAAAGAGATCAGACCAAACCAATCCATGACATATTCAACCAAAGAGAGAGACAAAGCTATAGCTAAGACATTTTTGGTCCCGACATCTTAGTTTCTTAGTGCTAAGGTAAACATGCTGGGAGAAAAAAGGTGTCGGGATCGACAAGGACTTTGGCACAGGTGAAATAGTTCTTTAAAAGACTACAGCAATGTCTGCTCCAGGGTCCAAGACCAGTAATAGAAACGGTCATTTAGGCAACGATCATTTAAACTTTTCGCTGCTGGAATTAGTACCAGGAACTAGAGACAAAGCCAGGAACTGTTCAACAGGAAGAGTCCAGCTTTGGCAGCAGCTGGGTCCTGGTTGCACCAGGAGACGAGGAGTCCTGGTTGGCTGCTCCTGGTTGTACTTACGGCTTCAAAAACTTGTCTGTACTCCTCCAGCTTATCCTCACTGAAAATGCAGTACTTGGCCAAAAAGTCGACTGAAAATACAATAGAATCAGACGGGAAAAAAAATTAGTAAAAAAAAAAAAAAAAAATTCTCCAACCTAAAATCTGAGCCGATATCGATTTTCTTCAGTGAAAGGAAAAATGTGATTAAAAAAAGAATTGAACATTAGATTTAAATGGATTCCAGTTACAGTGTGTGATAATGGACCTTGACATACGATAAAACTACGATCCAACAGTTAAACTTCTCACAGATATTTACAGTAAATCCATTCATTACCTCTGACCAATGTTAGCTAACGTTAGCTCTGTTTTGACCTTGTGTTACGTCCACCTACAGGCTGAACTCTGAGCATTAACATTATGCCAGAAATTAGTGACCAGAGTTGGGATTCAATTAGTAACCATTCCAACATGTTATTTTGCCTGTGATCATTTGTCGGCTGTAGTAGAATCCTGTAGTGACAGCAGCGTTATGTAGTAGAATCCTGTAGTGACAGCAGCAGAGCTCAGGTCTAAAAGTGATGCTTTCACAGGCCTGTGGCGTTAAGCTGAACTGCAGCCATGAATATTTTAATCAGCAAATTAGGTAGAGGGACTGAGAAGAAAAAGAAAGGGAGGTGTGTGTGTGTGTGTGTGTGTCTGTGTGTTTGGGGGGGGGGGGGCTTTAAGCTGCTGCCACCTCTGTCTTTTAGATGAGAATGAGTCTGTGGAATAATGGATCTATTCATGGGTTTGTAGAAGAAAGAGCAGCAGCAGAGTTGATATGGCTCTGGATTTAAACCT